ATCTGTTGGTAATTGGATGTGGAGCCTGGCAAGGACTGGTGTGATGGGGGTACAGAGATTTGCTCGGGTGAGAATCTGGGCGGCAGAGTTCTGAATTGTTGTATTTTGTGTATAGTGGAGCTGGGGAGACCAGTGAGGAGGGCATTGGAATAGTCTACCCGGGAAGTAATGAAGGCATGGACGAGAGTTGCGTCTGAGGATCGAACCTGACGTCTAAGTTGCACATGGGTTCAGTGAGTCTGAGGGAGAGGTTGAGGAGTTCAGACCTGTAGGAGGCAAGAAGTTGATGGGAGCCAAAGAGTATGGCTTCCGTTTTGCCGATATTCAGCTGCAGGAAATTTGCATTTATCCAGGCCTTGATGTCCATCAAACAAGCTGACAGGACATCAGTGGACTGGGAGCCGCAGCTGGAGGAGGAGAAACAGATTTGGGTGTCATCCTCATGGATGTGGAAGTTGGCCCCATGTCTGCGGATGGCAGCGCAGAGATGGAACATGTAGATAAGGAAAAGAATGGGGCCAAGGATGGAGTCTTGGAGTATCCCGCAGATGCCCGGGCAGGGGCGGGCAGAAAAATCATTTGCCAAGATTTCGCCCACAAAATATACAGTCACTACACTTTAGTGTATTCTGGGAAACTCTTAGAGATGCCTTGAAGATGTGATAAGGCACTATATCAAATCAAGGACTATTATTATTTTTGTTATTATTGGTAGTTTATTAAGTAGGACTCAAACCATGCGAGTGCAGTCTACTAAGATTGGTGAGGGAATAAAGACGTGATTGACTGTGTCGAATGCGGCAGAGAGGTCGGGGAGAACAAGGAGGCAGAGGGAGCCCTGGACACAGAGATGAAGGACGTCATTTGTTAATTCAATGAGCACTGTCTCTGTGCAGGGGGCTGAGCGGAAACGTTACTGGAGGGGTTTGAGCAGAGAGTGGAGGGTGAGGTGTGAACAAAGTTGATTTGTAACAACGCATTCCAAACTATGACCAGGAAGGGCAGGTTTGAGATGGATCTGAAGTTTGTGAGATTGGAGGGTAGGTTTTTTAAGAAGAGGAGTGATGACAGCGGTTTTGAGGGGGAGTGACTCTCCTGAGGAGAGGGACTAGTTAATTGTGTCAGCCAGCAGTGAGCCGAGAAGGGGAGTTGAGTGACCAGAAGCTGGGTGGGGCAGGGGGTCGAGGCAGCAGGTTGTGGGCTTCATCTGGGTGATGGTGGGGAAAGGGGAGCAGGGAGAGATGGGGGCTAAGGAGTGTAAGGTGGGGGCCGTGATAGGAGAGGGTGATGAAGGAGGCATGGCAGGGGTGGGGTTTGGTTGACGACATGGGTGGGGGGGTGGAGAGGAAGAGGAGGCATCAAACTGAATTCTGTGATTGATGCACCAGCATAAATTTGTAACAATCCCCTTCTTATTGTCACCAAAGCAAAACAGGAACATCGAAGTTTTTGACCAATGCTGCCTGGCAAGTATTAATGTTAACGGAATAGTTAAAGAAAATATAAACCTATTCCAGTGTAGGAAATATAAAATGACACAGTTAGGTGGGGCCATGCTTACAGCAAGCAAAAAGACCTGACCTTGTGGCAGCATGACATCAGCAAAAATGCAGAACCTGCAGTCGGCAGTGTTCAGAGGGTATCAAATAAAGAAGAATTTCATATTGCAAAAAAGTATTCTTCCCAATTTTTATTCGACAGGATATATTCTGTCAAAGACACACAAGGATTCTGTTGGCCTCCCTAAAAACAACCATAACAAATGTGATCAATCCAGATACTATGATACTGCCACTATCTATACTATCCTCCTTGGGGGGAGTGGGGGGAGTAACAAGGCAGGGTCTCCTTGGAGCTGAGCTGGCTCTAAGGTTACATGCTTAATGGAATCAACTCAAATCTCTGTGGCGGTATTTGTAGTCTAGTTACTGAGCTATACTGGTCCGCAGTACTACAGCACTGCTAATGACAGCCCAGCCAGCCCGGGCTCATCAGCTGGGCCAATAGTAAAGTGTGGTGGCACCCTTTCCGCTACAACAACCCTCGACCGCTACAAACCCGGTATAAATGCAGTTTCTTTGTTTGCCTGACCTCATGGGGGTAGAGCGGCTCTGGACGTGCATGCGTAGTGTGGTGCAAATGGGCTACACTCAAAGGCCCCGCTGTTGTGATTGTCTGTGTGTGTGTCTCTATGTGAGTGTGTCTATGTCTCTTCTATATGTGTGTGTATGTATGAGTGTCTGTGTGAATGTATGAGTCTCTCTGTCTGCGTGAGTATGTCTCTTTGTATCTATGAGTGTGTGTGTTTGTGTCTCTCTCTGTGTCTGAGTGTGTGTCTCTCTCTCTCTGTGTCTGTGAGTGTGTGTAATTCTCTCTCATGTCTGTGAGTGTGTGTCTCTGTGTCTGTGAGTGTGTGTCTCTGTGTCTGTGAGTGTGTGTCTCTGTGTCTGTGAGTGTGTGTCTCTGTGTCTGTGAGTGTGTGTCTCTCTCTCTCTCTCTCTCGTGTCTGTGAGTGTGTTTCTCTATGTTTGTGAGTGTCTGTCTCTGAGTGTGTGTGTCTCTCTGTGTCTGTGAGTGTGTGTGTCTCTCTCTGTGTCTGAGTGTCTCTCTGTCTGTCTGAGTGTGTGTCTCTCTCTGTGTGTCTGTGAGTGTCTCTCTGTGTCTGATAGTGTGTGCGTGTGTCTCTCTCTCTGTCTCTGAGTGTGTGGTTCTGTCTCGGTCTCAGAGTGTCTCTCTCTGGATCTCTGAGTGTGTGCGTGTGTCTCTCTCTGGGTCTCTGTGTCTGTGTGCAGTATCAGCCCAGAGAGGCAGGAGGTGGTGAGCTCCTGTAGCCTCACAGGTATTGCCCCAGCACCCCCCCAAAAGATAGCCACCCAATATTTGTTAAAGAAGCAATTAATAATTTTTTTTGTAACAATCTAATATGTTATTTCTTTATGTTTAGCTTGTATCAATAAAGTAAAAAAAGTAGCAGTAAAATGTACCTCAATAGCACATATCAAGCCCCGCAAATTCCCCATATAACCCAACAAAGGCTGACACAATTCCCCGTAAGATTCACAAAGCACCCTTCACTTTTCTATTGGCTCAGCTCATCAGTAAGCCTTGGAGGGGCAGGCTTACTGGGTTCAGTTCCCATTCAACTCCTGGTTACCTTGCAAGCCAAAACCCTAATTCATAGGGATGTTCATAGTTGGAAGCTTGTCAGATAATGCTTTCAATAGCAAGGTATGCATCTTAGCTTGTTAAACTCCAGCGATACTTCAACTAACACACTAATCCCTTTAGTTCTTGCCAATCTGTGCCAAATACACTCCAGAATTTCTCTATGGGGAAAAAATGAACATTCCATTCCAGACATGGGAATTTCCGTGTATTGTGGGTTTAAATGGAACTCTCAATCTGGTTTGGATGTTCTTAAGTACGGTGATGGGTTTCTGCATTTGTCAGACATCCGACTAACCACCAAAAATTGTAAACACTGCAAAACGATCTGCTTATTCTCTAGGAGTGGCAAGTCCAATGTACTCCTTTAGATAACAAAGAAGGAAATGAAAGCAAATATTTGGACATGACGTAAGTTTAGTATTATTGCTCAACTCACCAGCACAAAATCCCAAGACTTTCAATTCCTTAAATTTTGACACTTCAGTTGCAGAAATAAGGACTGTTTACTGCAGTTTATTCTTCAAAACTGCGACATTAAGAGTTCAGATGATACACTGGAGACACATAATAATGGTGATTTATTTTGAATTAGAGTTCCCAGTACTTGTGCTTTCATTAATCTCACAGGGTGGTAATGAGAGAAATGTACATTACATTTAAAGTGATAAATATCAGCTCTGGCACTGTTTGATGAAGAACTAGACTAAAAACTTAAAATCCAGTCCATGCCAGGCTTGCTGATCTCAGCCACAGCAGCAGTTGAGGACACTGCAATTGGCCTCAGTGCCTCTGTGTTAAGGAGGGAAAAATAAGTTATAGTTCCCATTCTCAGATGCTAAATAGGAACCCCTACTGGAAAATGCATATCTGTGCACATTAGGTAGAACTAAGTTGGGTTTGGCAGTCAAAGCCTCTCCCCCACCTAAGTCAAATAACTTGTCAACACCGAACAACAAGCTAGGTTCATGCATGAATAATAGTCACTTGAGTAATTTACTGGAATGTGAAAGGTAGCCTTAGGGAGGGAATAAGGAGTAATGACACATCACAAATGACTACGCTGGCTCACCAGCAGGTCTCTCTTCTATTGTCTAAAATCCCTAAAATTTGCACGATGTACACCAAAAAAAGGACCACCAACAGTGGTAAAGAAATCATTGTAATGCTGAAGAGGCAGTCAGAACTTCCAATGCAGAGAGTTACAAAACAGCCCTAAAATATCAAATACATGATAGTAAAAGTCTTTTCACCTGCTGAAAAATACTGTTCAGTGGCAATGATTCATCCCAGATTATTACTTTCTCCACCTGATACTACTTAAAAAAAACTTTAGACTTAAATAGCCCACAAAATATACAGTCAATTCACTTTACAGTATATTCTATGAAGCGCTTTGAGACGTACCAAAGACATGATAAGGCGCTATATCAAATGCAGGGATTACTATTATTATTTTAATAAAATTTGCCACTTGTAAGTGACTACTATAAGCTATACAATCTACAAAGTCAATAAAACTGCAAAAGCTAACCAAATACATTCAACCCCCGGATCTGGAATTTAGTCTTACCCAGATTCCGTGATCCAAAAATCCATCCCGCTAATTCCAAACTGCAGCCAACCCAATTCTCCTAGCATGCATGTACATCGCATTGCATAGCCAATGTGATACCCACAGCTTGATAGAGACCAAATTCCTAATTGTATAAAATTCTCAATTGTTTGAGGTATACACGATGGGATTTACTTATTGTACTGATTACTGTACTGCAACTCTTAAAAGCACTGTAATCATTCAGAAACCTGAGAAGCAACAACAGCAATGTACTCACTTTTTCTGAGAGATTTTGGATGAGGTTGAATTCCACCAGTCGGTAAACGATAAGTACTCATACGCTGCACAAGACTGGCAACATTTCCAGTTTTCTCTCGTTTAACCAAAAGATTTTCTTCTTTTGCTTCTCCATCTTTCTTTATTTCCTGCAAAAAGAAAAAAAGCGGAATTACTATTTTCAATTAATGAATTTTGTCAACAACAACTTACATTTACATCATGTTTTTAATGCAAGTAGCATCTTGGAGCGCTTAACAGCAGTCTGGTTTGTTGCCAAGCTGTAAAGAGAGGGGATGTAGCCAAAGGCACAGGTCAAGGAAAGCCATCAGGTGTGATTTGAAGATGGGCAAACAGAAGGCAAGATAGAGGGACTTAAGTAGTGAGTTCCACAGATTCAGGGGATCATGGCTGAAAGCACAGGTGCTAAGTGGAGCAGAGAGGACAAGGGACATGCAGAAGACCCAAGCCAGATGAGCAAAGAAGTCGGGTAGTGGAGTGGGGTGTGAGCAGATCGGAGAAGTAGAGAGGTGTCCGGGTATGAAGAGATTTGAAAGTGAAAATGAGGATCTTGAAATCGCATCAAGGAACCAGTGGAGCCAGGCAAGAACTGGGCAATGGGGATGCAGAGCCTGGTAGGCGTGAGGACATAGGCAGCAGAGTTTTGTATCACTTGGACCTTGATTATGGTAGAGCTAGGGAGACTCTCAAGGACCACCTTGGAAAATTCAAGGCAGGAGGTGATAAAAGCATGAATGAAGGTTTCAGCAGTGTTTGAAGATAGGGACGAAAGCAGACGATCTGACAGTGGTGGAGAAAGGCATTCCTGGACGGGAACCGTTATGTGGGTTAGAAGGATACCTGGGGATTGAATCTGACGCCAAGGTTGTGTACATGTTCAGTGAGTCTGAGTCTGTAATTATTTATTGAAATAGCCAAAATCAGAATTAGCTCATTCATATATACATCAATAAATAAACAACAACAACAACAAGATTACGTTTGTATAATGCCTTTCACATCGGGAGGACATCCCAAGGCGCTGGATAGAGTACAGCATTTCAGACCCGAGCTGGGGTTAGGCGGGGAAGGGAGGGGAGAGGAAAGGGGGTGGCTGATAGCATGATTGAAGAGGAGGATCTTGAGGCAGGACTTGAAGGAGGCTAAGGAGGGGGCGAGGCGCAGTGACTGGGGAATGGAATTCCAGAGGTTGGGGGCAGAGTGGCTGAAGGCTCTCCCGCCAATGGTGGGGCGGGTGGGTCGGGGGACATGGAGCAGGCCAGAGTCGACTGAGCGGAGGGAACGGGCAGGTTGGTAGAGGGTTAGGAGGTCGCAGAGGTAGGGTGGGGCGAGGCCATGGAGCGCTTTGTATGTGAGGACCAGGATCTTGAACTGGATCCTGTGATGGATAGGGAGCCAGTGGACTCGGGCGAGAGTGGGGGAGATGGGGTCATGGAGTTTGGTGCGGAGAGGACACGGGCTACAGAATTCTGGATTATCTGCAGCCTGTGGAGGGAGGAGTTGGGAAGGCTGACAAGCAGGGCATTAGCATAGTCGAGCCGGGAGGTAATGAAGGCATGAACAAGAGTTTCAGTGGCCTGAGGGGTGAGGTAGTGGGGGAGTCGGGCGATGTTACAGAGGTGAGGGAAGGAAGAGCGGGTCATGGCTTGAATGTGGGGGTGAAGAGACAGTTGAGGGTCGAACAAGACACCGAGGTTCCTGACTGGCTGGTGAGTTTGCAGTGTGCAACCATGGAGGTTGATGCTGCCAGAGCCTGAGGTGCTGAGGCGCTGGCGCGACCCAATCAGGAGGGCCTCAGTCTTGTTCACATTCAACTACAGGAAATTTGCCCTCATCCAGGACTTGATGTCCGACAGACAGTCTGTCAGGACAGCAGAGGTCCTGGAGTTGAGGGTGGAGGCAGAAAGATAGAGTTGGATGTCATCCGCGTACATGTGGAAGTTGACCCCATGTCTGCGGATGATGTCAGCAAGCACAGAAGGGAGCCAGACCAGGAAGATCCCTGGTCAGTGATGGGCTAAAGGCCTACTTCTCTGCTTTAAATTCAACTTTCAGCACGCTTGTTCTATTTCGAGTTGGATAATTTCACCTGGGGCAACAGGGAGTTTCAGTCAGAGCTCCAAATCATGATCTCTTTCATGATCCCTGCTGGAAAGTGCCCATTTCACATTTGAAGAAAAACAGTTTAAATTAATCTTAATAGAACAGCTGATAAGCAAAATATCAATCCAGTTTTCAATCATTCCTTCTGGAAACATTACTGTATAGTACAGCCAATATACAATTCTTTCACCACAAATCCTATTTCTTGCATTTATATAATGCCCTTCACATGTGAGGTATATCAGAGCACTGGCTGACAGACAAAAAGGACTGCATTAGCTTAGACTTCTTGCCCAAAATACAACTATTTAAAACAATAAATAACAAGAATCCTTGTATTTAATATGACATCTAATGCTGGAGTTCCTGCTGTAATCAAGGCATTTAGAGGTAAGAACAAGCCCCTACTTGTGGATGCACTACTGTCTCACAAAAAACAGAAAGACTGAATATTACAACATATTTTTGACCAGTGGTGTCACAAGCTTTCTCAAACAAGATCCAAAGCAGGTGTACGTACAGCAGCTGAAACTGCTCGATCAGTTCTTCTGTAATAAAATTGGTCAGTCACTCCATGGCTGTTTGTGGGACATTGCTGAGCGCAAACTGGCTGCCGCGTTTCGCCCACAAACTCGATCACTTTATAGTATATCTTGTGAAATTCTTTGAGACATTTCAATGATGTGAAAAGGTGCTATATCAAATGCAAGGATTATTATTATTATTTATTATTTGCATAGTCTTCAGCACCAAGGAAAATTCCACAGTAAATCCTGTTCTGCTTCCCCCACCTCATATTGCATATCCACCAAAAACTTCACCAGTTATATACAGAGTGACCAAAAAGTGGTGAGATCTACCCTATTATCTAAAAAAAATCATAATTTCTTTAAGATTTATTAGACATTGTAATAGTATCACAACTTTTTGGTCACCTTTTATATAACACAACCCCATTCTGAAGTTTTTTCAAACAAACTTCTGTTTAATGCTGCAGACTTGAGAAATGCGAAGAAAGCACAACCTTCTTGTGCTAAAACCACAATTCCATGATCTCCAAGCTGTTTAAAATCACAGCTGGTTAGCTTTAAATTGGAAACCTCAGCAATTTCAAGGGGGTTCTTCTTAGTTGCTGCCCAGTCTGACTAGTGTTCTGTGGATTCGCTTAACAAAATGTTTCAGTTTCACTTCATTTATAAATGCTATTCTAGCCCTTAACCCTTTCAAAAAGCCCAGGAAATATAAATCACAGTCCTCTATGAATGTTTCTGCAGGTCATTCTGCTTCTTTAGTTTCATTCCCCAACCCCCAAAAAAATCAGAACCTCTTCAACTTTACAATTTCAGATAAAGCAGAATGGTAATTCTTGTTCAATGTCTGTCTGTCTTTTTTCCTCTTTTGCTAATCCAGAATTTTATATTATCTAATTCTCATGAATCTCTGAAGTGAAACTGCTGTAGCTGTTAAGGATGAGGGACACTGACAACGTGTAGTTTTCATTCCCTATCTCAGAGCATTCATAGAATAAAGGGGGAAAAAGAGGTACCTTTCTGGGTGCAGGATTTCAAAAATCTAGTATTTCAAAAACAGATTGGAGTCATAGAATCATAGAATTGTACAGCACAAAAAGAGGCCATTCGGCCCAACGAGTTTGTGCCGGCTCTTTGAAAAGACCAATGTGGAGTCCTGTAGCTCAGTGGTTAGAGCACTCGCTTTGCAAGCGAGAGACCTGAGTTCAATTCCAGGCAGGGCGAAACCTTGGGCAAGTTTCCTTACTCCACACACCTAATAATAATCCCTCCAAAACCCCTCCAAAAACAATAATAAATTGGTCATTTTCAATCTACGACTGTTTGTGGGACATTGCTGTGCGCAATTGCCTGCCGCGTTCGCCCACAAATATATAGTCAATTCACTTTACAGCGTGTTCTGTGAAGCGCTTTGGGACGTCGTCCCGACGTGAAAAGCGCTATATCAAATGCAAGGATTATTATTATTATTATTAATGTAATGTCAATCCCACTCCCCAGCCCTTTCCCCATAACCCTGCAAACCAGTCCTCCTCAAATACCCGTCCACCGCGTTTTTAAAAGTTGTTATCGAATCGGCCTCGACCACCCTTTCAGGGAATGCGTTCCAGATTCGAACAACTCACTGCGTGAAAAAATTTCTTCTCACCTCCCCTCTGCTTCTTTTAGAGACTATTTTAAATTATGACCTCGAGTCACCGACACACCCACCAGTGGGGACAGCTTTTCCCTTTCTAACCTATCAAATCCCCTCATGATTTTGAAGACCTCTATTAGGTCTCCTCATAACCTTCTCTGCTCCAATGAGAATAATCCCAGCCTCTCTAACTTTTCCTGATAATCAAGGTCCCTCATTCCTGGTACCATCCTCGTAAATCTCCTCTGCACCCTTTCCAATGCCTTAACATCCTTCCTATAGTGTGGTGCCCAGAACTGGGCGCAGTATTCTAACTGAGGCCTAACCAGTGTTTTATATAGGTTAATCATAACCTCCTGACTTGTACTCTATGCCCCTATTTATGAAGCCAAGTATCCCATATGCCCTTTTTACAGCTATATCTACCTGCCACCTTCATGGATTCATTTACCTGAACCCCCAGGTCTCTCTGTTCTTTCACCGCCCTTAAGATTGTATTACCAGCCTATATTGCCTCCCCTCATTCTTTCTACCAAAATGCATTACTTCGCATTTCTCCACATTGAAACTCATCTGCCATGTGTCTGCCCATCTTACCATTCTGTCTATGTCTTCCTGCAGTTGGCTACTATCCTTCTCACTGTTTACCACCCTACCTAACTTTGTGTCTCCGCAAACTTGGAAATGATACTTGCTATACCCAAGTCCAGATCATTTATGTATATTAAGAAGAGCAGTGGTCCTAATACCGATCCCTGGGGGATGCCACTGTACACTCCCCTCCAGTCAGAAAAGCAGCCGTTCACCACAACTCTCTGCTTTCTGTCTCCCAGTCAGTTCTCGATCCATGCTGCCACTG